CATTATTGTAAATGGCACTATTCTCAAAAATCTGCTGATTGATGAAGACTCCATGAAAGATATGAACAGTTTAAACTCCCTACTCGAACTCGGTATTTCAATTCAGATGTATTCAAAGGACAAGCGTGTTGATAATTATATATTTCCATTTCTATTTTTTCCCTCTGTGATAACTCTTTAAAAGTAAGCGGAGTTAATTTCTTGATATTTCTGCCGGAATGTAAATTAGGCAGGTCAATAGGTCAGGAGCTAAGGGGGTCTAATATGCATGCAAATCTCGTGCGCATCTGTCTCTGAGTCTGACGCTAAGGAGGCCAAATATGCATGAAAATCTCGTGCGGCTGCCGTTGTGTTTGACGTCAGAGGGCGAGGACCCCTGAAATTGGGATGGGAATCCTCGTATAATTTAAATCTATGTCTGCATTTTTAAAGTCTAAATCTACAATTCTATTTCACAATGAAATGGAAATATATGGAATCACTGTCTAGTAAGTATAGTATGCCAGGGACATCAACAATAGTGGGCAACATGGGATAATTTATGCATAACGGGCTTCGCCCGTTATGCAAATTATCCCATGTTTCCCACTATTGTTGATGCCCTGGCATACTATACTTACTAGACAGTGATTCCTTAAAGAAATAAGCTACTTGAAGTTTGTAAAAGCTTAGATATATACATGTATATTGCAAGTGGTAGAGTCGGTGATGATAGTTTTGTAGGTGCTGTAACCACAAGTAAAGATACTGATATTGATTATGGCATTGTATCTCCATCTTTATTTGATAGTATTTCTACTTTCAAAATTTTTTATTTTGATCCTATGTTGAGCGATATGCATTGTCCTGTTATTGTGCACTCTGATACTGTGTTTATGACAAAAACAGATAATGAATCTTCCTGGAAGTTTAAAGAAAATACTGCAGAAAATCAAGTTATTTTAAAACCCAAGCGAAAAGTTGCAATGCACATGTATTTATTGAAAATTTAAGTGAAGAGAGTATAAATGAAGTGCTTATGAATCTTGAGAATGTTGACATGAATCAGATTGATATTGGTTTTATAAATCAGGTTGTCACTAATTGTAATTCTATAATAAAAAATGCAGCTGAAAAAGCAGATATGTTTATTGTGACTAATAACAATGAGCGGAGGTCTGTAAGATCTAAACTGTGTAAACCCTGTTTCAACAAAGAATGTTATTTGAAACGTAAAGAGTATCACAAATGTAGAAATCTCCCTTGGAGACTGAAAAGAGTTGAGACAGTATTACAAAGTAGTAGAGATTATAAAAAAAAACTTTAAATTAACAGTTTAGAGAGTATCAGAAAAATTTTGTTAATAAACTGAGAAATTTACGTAGTACTGATGCGAAAGCATTGATCGGTCATTATTGAATAAATGTGACAGAAAGGCCAGTAAAAATGTTGAGAAAATTTCTCTTGATGTTTTCTACGATCATTTTAAAAATATGAATGCTTTAGATGATGATTCTGATGATGATGTTAATCAGCTTCCAAATGTAACTAATTTCAATATTGAGTTGAACCAAGCTATTACTGAAACGGAAGTGTTGAATACTATAAAATCACTGAAAAACAAGCATGCGGTGGTGATCTTATTTTGAATGAATTTCTGAAAAATACAATTGCAAAATTAATGCCTGTATTTGTAAAAAAAAATAATAATATGGTTTTCATGACTGGTATTGTGCCTGACGGTCGGTCAGAAGGTTATATTTGCCCAATATACAGAAACAAAGGAGATCCTAATGACGTAGATAATTATAGTGGTATCACCATTCTAAGCTGTTATGGAAAATTGTTCACTTGTATCTTGAATAATAGGTTGTATAAATATTTATAAAACTCTGGTATGCTCTGTGAAGAACAAGCAGGGTTTAGAAAAGGTTACAGCACAACAGATTATATATTTAACCTTAAATGTTTAATTGACTTGTATTTACAGAGGTAGAAAATTATACCGTGTTATTGTTGACTATCGTAAAGCATTTGACACTGTACGAAGAGCTTATTTAATATGGCAAAAAATGTTGAATCATTCTATAGATGGAAACATGTTAAAAATAATACAAAATATATACAGTAATGCACAGTCTTGTGTAAGGCAAGGTAGTCCTTGTTCCAATTTTTTTATTGGTGTACGTCAAGGTGAAAATTTATCACCTGTTTTGCTTGCCATTTTTTTCTTAATGATTTGGTTGAATTTATGTCACATGCCTATAATGGTCTTGTAGATATGAATAAGGCAGCTCACTTGTTAGATACTGAAGAGATAACTGTCTATTTACTTTTGTATATGTTGTTGTTGTATGCTGATGATACAGTTATTTTAGCAGAGTCAGCTGCTGAACTGCAGGCTTCTTTAAATGCAATGTACTTGTACTGTCAAACTTGGAAGATCCAAGTGAATTCTCTTAAAACAAAAGTTGTTTTTTTCTCGAAAATTTTTTTTTTATCGATTTTCCAATGTATTTTTACTTATCACCCAAAATAGCCCCACCCTTGCACTATGGGTCATGATCTGAAAAAAATTAAATCTACACTAATAGAGGATGCTTCCATATAGATATGACCAATCGTGCCTTTGCTTTTCTTTAGAAAAAGATTTTTAAAGATTTTTCCTATCTATTCCTATGTTAAACTTTGAACAAACTTGAATCTACACTACCAGAGTATGCTTCCATAAAACTATGACCAATTATGGCTTTGCTGTTACGGCTTTGCTGTTCTTGAGAAGTAGATTTTTAAAGATTTTTCTTATGTTATGTTATGTTAAAATTTACTACCCCATTATGGCCCCCACCCTACCCCCGGGGGTCATAATTTGCACAAACGTGAATCTACACTACAAGAGGCTGCTTCTACATGAGTTTCATCTTTCCTGGCCCAGTGGTTTAAACTTTAATCTTTGTTATAACTTTGGAACATTTAGCATTAGGGCGTTCAAATTTCATTGATAAATCTCATGTGACACACCCTTCCTCTGGATACGAAAACCTTTGACATTGGCATTTGACCTACTTTTGAAATACTTCATTCTTCATAACTTTTGAAGAGTTGGTGCCATGGCTTTTATATTTTGCATATTTATTTATCACAAGTCTTTTCCTGAACACTATTTTGGCCTTGACCTTGGAATTTGAAACACTTAAGAAGACATATACAATAAATTTTCAACGGTTGGTGCTTGGGCTTTCATACAATCTGATTCAAATCAGATCATTTAATCCGCTCACATAGATCGCTAGACAAGGATCCGAAGAAACCCAATTCAGGGTCATCTCCTAGTGAACTTTCAATTATCCAATCAAACATTCACTTATGAGAATTTAGAGGAGTCTCGAAATTCTGTTACAGAAGTGAAAGCCCCCGATGATATACGAACGGAAAGTTATGACAAGTCTGAGGCCTGTTCAGCTGGGCGAACGCTCACGAGCGCTCGCCAAAATTCCTTATACCTGCAATAGTAATTTTGGCGAGCGCTCGCGAACGTTCGCTCTGTTGAACAGGCCTCAGATGGTTTCGGCAGCCTATCAAGAGAACGACCACAGTCTTTTCTATACAGAAATATAAGAAGACTTGCTTTTGTCATGTTTTTATTTTAGCTCTTTGTTTTTGTACGAAACAATAAAACATTCAAGTACGACCTCTCTTTAGTTAAAATTTTAATGAATATTTTATTTGAAAGGTCACCAGGAGATGACTCTGAATGGTGTTTTTCAGATCCTTGTGTAGCTCGATCTCATGTGAGCAGATCAAAGAATCTGATTTGAATCAGACTGGGATTTCATATAGCTTTATGACATACGCGACTTTAACATTTCAAACGTCATCCTCCCTTACTTATTCAGCAATATTTACATCCACTGAATATTTTCTCCTTTATTTCTTAAGAAAACTCATTGCGTTAATCACTGCATGAACTACATTAGGCATGTCGCCTGTTCAGATTTCTTGATCAGTGGCTGTTCCATCAATGTAACGTATAAAGACGTTCGCATCATTAATATAATAATTAATCTTTTTAATCCTACTTTAAATGATTATTTAAACAGATATAAATATAAACAATGAAATGTCTTTCTTTGTTTGTTATTACTGGAATTAACGGTCGCAGCTATTGCAGAAAAAATTTACATAACCCGCTTACGCGGGTTATGTATTTTTTCTGCAACAGCTGCTTCCGTTAATACCAGTAATAACAAACAAAGAAAGCATTTTATTGTTTAAATATACCTTCATCACCTGCAAATCGGGTTTATATCTCCTATTAGTTGATTCAATACACAGGAACATATTTAACATATGAACAATTTTTAAAACGAGGTAAGTTATTGACAAAGAAGTTGCTGAAAGAAGAATATCAGCATAAATATCTCGTCTAGAGTCATTCTTTCGTAAGTTCTATGGTCGATACAATGACCTTGACCGACGTTTTTCTACTCACTCCTTCATGGCACCTGCTCCCATCTCTGATGTTTTGGAGGTCCGTGTTTGTTCTGCTTCAATTTTGTACTGTTTAATGGATTTTAAGCTTGAATACTGTTCGTGATTTCCGCATGTTTCTTTTACAGGTATATTTGAGGTATTGTACTAAACTTTACTCTTTGCTTTAAAGCAACATTTTTAAAAAATCCTTTTATGAAGAAATCATGTATATAGATATCATTCAGAGACTTTACTCGTGCTTTCTTTTTTTTCAGGCTGGTTTCATTTTGATTTGTACCTTGCAAAATGGAGTTACTGAATTAGCCTATATCCTCTAAATGTATATCATCAAATATAAAACACTGTATGAAAAAAATATAAAGCGAACATAATCAATTGAATAACATGCAGATATTTTTATATTAAGAAACAACAACAAAAACAAAACAAAAACATTTGGCACATGATTATGAGGAAGAATTTAAAAAAACTCATGAAATATATCATAAATATTATAATGACCTAAAGTATGTGTTTTTTAAAAAAAAATGTCACTGAAAGACTGTGGTTGCATAGCACTAAGGTGGTGTTCCAAAACTGAATGTCCAAACTCTCCAGGAATATTCAGAAGTCCAAAACTGAATATCCAAACTCTCAACGAATATTCAGAAGTCCAAAATCAGAAGAAAGGCACAGGAGCCACAAAGCAGTGAGAGCCAGAAGTGACAAGAATCTCTGGTCCATAGAAACTGTCTGCTTCCAATAGAGTAAAACTGTCAGGTGACCAGTCATCTAAGAACAGGGCTGTGTTAACCACAGGTCTGTAGTCCTCTGGGAGTGTCTGCAAGTGATATAATAATTCGTTCAGTTTGATAAAGTCCAGTGAAAATTATAATCTGATGACACAATAATCATTAAAAACAGTTTTGCATATATGCAAGCAGCTTTATATTCAACTAAATATGTGAGCACCATTAGAATACCTTTCTAATAGACATTGGCTCTTGTTTGGACCCAGATTTCATTTGGCTACATTTCTCAGTGACCTTCTGTACAGTGTTATCAGACAATTTTTTTTATACATTTTACTCTTTGTTTTCTGAAATATGCTATGCTCTTTCGCTGTCAAATCGTGCTTTCTGAATTCAAACATTACTGATACTAGCTAAAATAGATACCTTCTGTACCAGTGCAGACTGCTTTGGTGGCACTGAAGGTTTTGATACAACACTTTGTGGTTCCTTTTGTTTGAGGAATGAGTCCACTGTGTCCATTGTTTCTTCATCAGCGTCAGTAATTTGTTGATGAGTAGAGTCAGTTCTGTTGTTTCTTCTACCAGCAGTTGTCATTTGTTTTAGTGTGGAATCAACACTGTCGTTCTTTTCTCTAGTATATGTGGATTCCACCTGACCCTGAAAGTATCCATCACATGCTTGTTTAATTAAAATTCTGAATTCATCTTTATTAAATATAACCATTATTAAGTATTTGCATTGATTTCAGGCCCTCATGAAACCTACCTGTTTTTGCCTGTTCAGGATCCTCATAATTCTGGCCACATATGGAGGATATTCCACTGGGTCTGTCTGAATTTTTGGCGGAACAACAATGCGCTGGACTCTATTCTATTAAATAAACAGGGATATTCAGAAATCCATACAATATTTTTGTAAGAACCAGATAAATTCTAGTCATTTCCAATGAACTTGTTAGCATTCTTATAAATTACCTTGCCACCTTTTTGAGTTACAGAAGTAGAGGCAGATTTTGGACTTGGAGTCTGGTGCAATGTTGCTTCCATTTGTTTCCCAGTGGTCTGCTGCAATGAACTCACAAACATTTTATTTTTACTCCCTTTAGCCCTTGAGCTGTTGGATGTAATATTTGTAGTTGTCTTTTTCTTTGACATTTTGGTCTTGGTCTTTGTGCCTCCATTGGGGCAACAAATGTAGGAACACTCTGTGGGTTCAGACTCCATGATTCCTGATTCAAAAAAATGTTATGTATTCATTTTGTTGAAAATGTGATTGACTTAAACTTAGTAAATACACATAATTAAGAAGTTAGCCAAAACATAGGAAAAAACTTACAGGATGACCAGCAGAAAACCTCTGGGGATAGTCAGCTGATAGTCCAGGTGTAGTCACATTAGGTGTGGGTGTCATAACAGGAGAGTATGCACCATTGTAGGAACAGTTACTTCTGACGCCTTGGACCAGTTGGGTTGGTTGATGAATGGTCTGGTCATACACTGATGTAACTGGAACACTATTGTCAGTAGGAACTTGTAGTCTTGTTCTGTTAAACCATTCATTTGTTGTAGTTGTTGGGAAAAAGCCTTGAACCTCAATATTTCTAGGTAAAGTCTGTTCATAAAAACAACAAAGTAAACTATAATTCTTATTTCAACATTTAGTATTCTAATTTTTAAATAAGGTACTGTGTATTTAATTTAGAAGTAAGTGATCTTGGACATTGACTTCAGAATGAATGTGGATTTTCTTTCAGTCTAAAGGAGAAGTGATCTGTAATTTCATTGCAAAAGGGTCAAAAAGAACTAAAATTGTAACTTTTTTTTACTTTGTAGGATATTCCTTGAGTCAGAGATAATTGTTTTCAGTACACATTTTAAGAATTTTTCCTATAATTTCAAGATATGTATAGAGAAAAATGCAGGTTCTCTTGTTTATACAATTCCTTAACATGGAATACAAGTACTCACAAGTTCATTTGCAGAGATTGGTTGTTGTAACTCTGCCTGTGTCAAAGTCGGGTTAAGGAAATGAACAGCAAGAGCATTTTGAGCTGAGGGATGAATGTGTCCCTGGCAGTTTGTGGCTATTTGTTGTACACTGTATTCTGTTTGTCTTTGCAGTATGGTCTCCTGAGTTTGCTGCTGGATGGACACCCATGGTAGTAGGGTCTGTCCAGATCTCAGCTCATTCAATGTCAATTCTGGTTTCACATTTGCAGGTTCAGTCTACAGAAGAAAAAAATCTCATCTCTCTATTACTGATTCTTCAAAATAAAAAGTTTTTTATCAATATGCATCTTCCTACCTCCCCCAATTGCTTTTAGGGCGGCATGCTATTGGAAATGAAATGAACATTTTTTTTAATTTAGCTTTGAAAAAATAGATGGACAGATTAATTGATGGACAAGTCATTTCTATACAATTCATTTGATTGGCATTCAATTAACTTAAAAAAGTTCATTAAGAGAAGTTAAACACACATTGCTTTACATACCTGTAGTTGTACCCTTGTCCTGGGTAGAGAAGGATACACAGTACAGCTGGTGACATTACGGTTCACTGGCTCAGTGCTGGTGACTGAGCGACCATTAGGAAGAACAGTGGTGTTTATAAATTGTTGCATTTGTTCATTGTTCAGCAGAGGTCTTGCAACCTAGAAGGAATGCAGATATTTATGTATACATGAATATGTACTTTTAATCTTATCAATAATTTTCTTCATTACTGTAATGTAGCCATATATAAATTAAGGCTATAAAAATGATGAAGATTTGATTTAGTTAGTAGTTGGAAATCAGGATTATTACAATAGATCCATTTGAAGTGATCATTTTTCATATTACCAATCAGTTAAAAAGTTGATAATAACATATCAATGTTATAGAAAAAAAAGAATATGCCATTACATAACTTACTCCATTTGTCACTACCCTGCCAGTTGTACGAGTGGTTCCTGTGTTGTGAAACACTGCTTGATTGGTAGCTTGAATGTAACGCTTTCTTGGTGGCTCAACCTGTTATATAAAATATTATGCTTATATGCATGTATAACAAAAGAGTGGGGGTCCACATTAAATGCACAAGTGTAATTAAGGAAAGACAATATTTTGCTTATAATTATATAGAATAATTGAAAAGAAATAGATTGGATCGAAAGGCTTCAGCAAAAAAGATATATGAAGGCTTCAGCAAAAAAGATATATGAAGAATTTAGAGAAGAAAAAGAGGGAAATGAATTTCATATTTTGAACTTACTTTTCCACATCAATATTATATATAACAAAACTGAGACCTCCACATCTCTCCCGGAAGTGGTGGGCGTGGTCAAGATGTCCACTCCCAGCCTCCCGTAAATACGTGAGGCAACTTCCGGGTCTGGATACTGAACATCCACTCTCTTCTGAAATGATTAAGAAAAAGTGTTTGAAAAATTCTGCTACCCCATGTTTGAAGTAAACCCATGTTTAGATATATTTAAACCGTTTACGCTTTACAAAAAAGTTTGGAACTTATCAATATTGAGCTATTTCTGAGTACTTCGCACTGTCTAAAAATAAATAATAAAAATACTATTTTTTTCGACAGACAGCATTATTTACATTAAACGTCTTTTAAGGTGACTGGGTAGTTGTGGTCATTTTCCATTTTAGCCTATATTTATCTCCTTTAGGTCAAGCGTTCTATATACATGTACAAAAATAATCAAATTTTAAAACCAAAATTTCGAATTTCTTTCGAACCCCCCATACACATATCCTTCTTTGACCTATACTGCAACGTTGAAAGTTGGGGGGGGGGGTTAAGCTATGCGCCAATATTAAGTCTATCTTTCAGAAAAATTGGTTTATGTCTAATTATCTTTGCACAAAAATTGTGTGTGGGGAGGGGGGTGGGAGGGGGGACTCAGACGCCTATGTAAATTAAGCTTAATCTAATGGTTTATTTGCCCCTACCACCCCCTCGGTTGCCGTGAAAAAACATCTGTCTATAATAGTACAGTCAGTAAATCATATAATTCACATTTCCGAATTCTCAAAAAAGTTCTTTTTATAATCCTTCAAAATATTTGGATATTGTAAACGCTTGAAACGAATTTATATTTTTTCATATCTCTGCAAACACCAGAAACGTTAATTAAAAGCATTAGGCGTTTTGTTTAAAATAAAAATCTTATAAGGCGCTATTCTTTTTCAGTGTGCGGTGAGAATGCAGTCCTGTAGCCCTGTTGCTTATGCTGTGTGGCAAAGGGGTACAACTGAAGTTCTTAAACAGATATATTTCCAACATACACAATTCATTTCATCATACACTACATGAAATTACTCTTATTTCAACAATTGACTAATATTTCAACAAAAATGTGCCTTCAAATGATCTTTTTCATATGTATTAAATGTAAAAAAAAATGATAAATAATGCTTGGACATAAACTTGAGATCAGAGAAGAAAAGAATATGCCTCAATCATGTGGCTTTTAAGAGAGAAAATTTGGGAATAATTTACATACACCTACCTCAAAATACCATTTGGATCCAAGTTGACACTTTACATATGAAACACCATCATGAAAGTTGAAAAAAGAAATTAAAAAGAAATATAACTAGATACGATCTCGTTGCGAGCAACGAGAGGTCTTCCGTCCGATTCAGATAAAAAAAACTTGTAAAATCGAACAAAAAAGTGATTCAAACTTTTGATCACAAGAAGGAGTGAATCCAGGTCGCCAACGTGAATGCGCCTTTTGTTTCTCTTTTCTCCCCAACGCGCGAACCATTTAGCTATTGGGAATACTGCTTTAAGCGTAAATATTCGCACTTTTTCTTTGTACTGATCTATTAAAGAGGTGCAATAGCTTCAATGAAATTAATTAAATAAAACATTCTTATCACCTTTATTTTATTTCGGCGTTAGGAAAGTATATTTAACACATTGTACACATTACATATCGTATCTAGCCCAGTAACACTAAAGCAGTGAAACGTAAATTAAGTTTTTTAAGATTGACACTGAATTGCAACGTACTACTACGTGAGAGTCCAAGTAGCTTTTTGCATTTCATGTATCCTTATGTCAGAATGGTTTAATCAAACGCTCAGCTGCCTCCATAAGCCCCTACTCGCGAAATGTCGGAGTTGACAGAGACAGCCGCCATCTTGGGCCCGCTTCAGATTTTCAAATATTAATATCTAGAGTTCAGATTAACCAATATTAAAACAACTTATATAGTAAGCATCAATAGAAATGTCTCTATTAATATTCCAAAAATAAATGAAAAATATTGAAAAACAAAGAAAGTTGAAAATTTGGACTTTTTGAATTGGCTTCCGGTAGCGACAGGAAGTACTGACGACGAACGAAAAGTTGTGTCCTGGAAAGTATTGATCATCATCTATAAACTCTGAAAGTTTCACATTGATATCTTTTACCGTTTTTGAGTTTAATCGTGGACAAAAAGTCATTTTAAAATCAGGAAAATGGTCCAAAACTTGGCACCAGAGAGGAATTTCCAAAAACTGTCTTGGAACTTT